TTTGTAAAATATATTAATTAAATCCTTCATCGGATGAACGTTTCTCTATGAACAATTTTTTTTGGCTCTTTGGAGTAAATTTAAACCCGTTCCAAAGAACAATTATATTTCGTATTACTGAAAATTTATTAAATAATTTAATGATACTAAATATGTAGAGAAATATCAGAATTCAATTGTTTTACATCAGTTTGATTTTCAACTTAATTAAAGTACAGCTTATTTTTTTTAATGTTTTATCGTGTATTTATGCATACAAAACACGAAAAAAATAAGTTATATTAAGCCTTCTATAATCCTATATAAAATAACTAATTAAAATCTAATATCTTATGTGTATAAAGAATCGGTTCCTTATTAAATTTGATACGAATCTAAGCGATATATGAATTTCTGTATCAAGATAATTGCTTAAGGATAGAAAAATTTATATAATTTTCTATAAATAAGATTGTAGATTTGATCAAGATTTTTAAAATAATCTTCTTTTTATTTAATTTTTACAAATTTCTGAATTTTCAAGGATATTGATTAGCCTATAGCCTATATATATTAGAGTAATCTTGCCAAGACTGTCAAACTGCATATTAGATATTGTAAAATATTAGACTTAAAAGTATAAATTAATACTTTGAAATGATAAAATATAAAATAAAGTATATTTTTAATCATTTTTTAAAGAATTCGAGATGCTAAATTCAAGGAAAACATCTATTTTTTGTAAAGGAAAAAGACGTTTAAGTTATCCAATTCTTCGGTATACAAGCTGCTTTCTGTCCTATTTCTGTCCGAAAAATAACATATATCCTAGTGGAACATTATATTAAATCATTTAAAATTGCTTTATTTAACTGCTATATATCTCGAAAAACAGGCCTACATAGAAATGATAATGCAATAATTCATTTGGACCATAGCAATATCTTTTTTCTCAATATATCATACATCTAACCCCATTTGTTGGATTATTAATAGACTAATATTTACTATTAAAAAAATAATAAATACAATGACATAATATACAATTATCGCACATCAATATTTTATTGTAAAACCTTTTTTTTTTAAATTAATTATTTCTCGTAAATAAATAGATTAGATTTTATTTAACTTGTTTTTCCTTCGAGTAGCATCGGGGAATTTAGAGCAAAAAATGATCTGTTTGGACAGTGTTTTAAAAGTTACCATTAATTTTTATGCATATTTATAGATCTAATTTACAAATATTTTTCATTGTATTGTAATTATACTAGAAAATTATTTATAAATTAATATATTTAAGAAAGGTTGCGAAGGTTAACCACTATTGCGCTCGGTCTTTTAACTATTTTTCTAATATTGTAGCATATTAAAATGACAAGTAAAAGAAGTTAATGATATATTGGATTAAGGCTATTTAAAACTTGATATACCATTTACTTTTAATTATTTTGTATATCAAATAGAACGTTTAGCCTATAGAATCTTTCATGTGCACAGAATTAATTGGTTAGTGTTAATAAATGACAAAATTTTTCAACAATCTGTCAAATATATTCTACAAAATCAAGAATTCTTTTAAATTATCAATTTAAAAGGTTTAATACAGTTACATTTTTTATAACAAATGATAAAACTATATCTATAATAAATTCAGTGCATACATACGTTCGGTAAGTCCATATACTTTTTATTATTTATAGACTAAATGTCAAGAAATAAACAATTGTTAAACGTTAAAAGAATAAACTTTATTATTTCTTTAAATCGACATTAAAAGAAATATTTAGAATATTAGAGATTTATGTGTAAAATAAGTTAAAAACCGAGCACAGAAAACAGCTTACATGCGGTTTTTTTACACAAGTTCTAAGCTACTTTGAAAAATACTTTGAATTCCGTGTATTTACGCACAGAATTATAGTTTAAAATTTAAGTTAACGATACGCTAAACAGATCTATTGAATCTTCTGTTATTTTTTATTCACTGGCAACTGGGGTTTTGTATGGAAACTATTTTTATATTATAAGAAAGCTTGCAGGCGATATATTATTGGTTTCTATCTTAATACACCCTTCATGAATAATTTCTGAAGTAATAAAGAACAATTCTATCAATTTGTCATTGAAAAACTTCAGTAAAATAGCTAAAATACGATACAGTTTAAGTGAAGAAAAAGACCGACACACCTAACGTGTCATACTTTCTGTATTGTTTAAATAATTCCTTTCAAAGAGTTGCGCTCACCCACGATTTTTGTGCTCTTAATCCTTTTCTCTATTCTTTATACCATTCTAATGGTAATGAATAGACAATATATAGGATATATAGACTATATATATATATAATACTTTATCGAGAATTTCATTCGAATTTAGTCTTGAGTTTCTCAGCCCACTTTGATACTTTACTACTTTATATTTACTATCCATTTTCTTAAATTTATAAGCATAATTTAGTTAAAAATAATAATTAAATTACACACAATATAACAAATTATAAGCTGTGAATACCGAATCACGCATTAAAAGTCGAATACACGAACAAGATATAGAATCCACAGCGTTGTTTTTCGTACATAGACCTAGAAATGTCTTGTCAAAAAATTAAATTTGCGTTTTCTCTAACTAATCATTTCATAAGCCCATAAACTTTCTATCATTATTATGAACCTCTCCGCATGCAGCGGGTCACCGAACTCCGCCTAATTCTCTTTAAAATCAAGAACTCCACCCAAATTCTCGCCTCGTCATCATCTTTGATGGCTCAACTCCGATTTTTTTCCTTTTTCTTTTTTTATTTTAATGCAAAGGTTACGACTTCTTCATCTGACAAAGTCGTGGTATCGATTTATATCGGATAACAGTAATGGACTGAGTTGGTTTAACAAGAATTTCTCTTTTTGTAGCTCAGACCCCAAGAAAACAAAGGAGAGAAAGAACGACCTTTACAAGATCCCAATTAGACGTTCTAGAAGCTCTTTTCAGCAAAACGAGATATCCAGATATCTTCATGAGGGAGGAAGTTGCTGTCAAAATTAATTTGCCCGAATCTAGAGTACAGGTGAGATAATAAATTTTTAAATTATTTTTTACTTATTTATAATCCAGTAATGAATATATATATATATATATATTTAACTAGAAAAATTATCTAATTTTATTAATTTAAGAATATTTCCTTTTACTTTTTACTCTTAATATAACAATTTTTATCTTGAGTTAGAAGCAATTATCAAGTATTATTACTATTTTTAAATATGAGATTTTATGAGAAATTCTACTTTAAATTAAAGAGAATAAATAAATATATATATATAAACTGTGGTTATTTTAGAATTATATATTTAGATTTATTGTAAAACGCTTAGAACATTCGATTTAAATATTTCAAGGACTTAAAAATATATATATTTATGGAGTTATTATTTGAAAATTTCAGTTGTGATGAAGTTATAATCAATCAAATTTTTTATTTTTAAATTTTACAAAATATAAATAAAAACTAGAAATGGAANTGCTTTCTGTCCTATTTCTGTCCGAAAAATAACATATATCCTAGTGGAACATTATATTAAATCATTTAAAATTGCTTTATTTAACTGCTATATATCTCGAAAAACAGGCCTACATAGAAATGATAATGCAATAATTCATTTGGACCATAGCAATATCTTTTTTCTCAATATATCATACATCTAACCCCATTTGTTGGATTATTAATAGACTAATATTTACTATTAAAAAAATAATAAATACAATGACATAATATACAATTATCGCACATCAATATTTTATTGTAAAACCTTTTTTTTTTAAATTAATTATTTCTCGTAAATAAATAGATTAGATTTTATTTAACTTGTTTTTCCTTCGAGTAGCATCGGGGAATTTAGAGCAAAAAATGATCTGTTTGGACAGTGTTTTAAAAGTTACCATTAATTTTTATGCATATTTATAGATCTAATTTACAAATATTTTTCATTGTATTGTAATTATACTAGAAAATTATTTATAAATTAATATATTTAAGAAAGGTTGCGAAGGTTAACCACTATTGCGCTCGGTCTTTTAACTATTTTTCTAATATTGTAGCATATTAAAATGACAAGTAAAAGAAGTTAATGATATATTGGATTAAGGCTATTTAAAACTTGATATACCATTTACTTTTAATTATTTTGTATATCAAATAGAACGTTTAGCCTATAGAATCTTTCATGTGCACAGAATTAATTGGTTAGTGTTAATAAATGACAAAATTTTTCAACAATTTGTCAAATATATTCTACAAAATCAAGAATTCTTTTAAATTATCAATTTAAAAGGTTTAATACAGTTACATTTTTCATAACAAATGATAAAACTATATCTATAATAAATTCAGTGCATACATACGTTCGGTAAGTCCATATACTTTTTATTATTTATAGACTAAATGTCAAGAAATAAACAATTGTTAAACGTTAAAAGAATAAACTTTATTATTTCTTTAAATCGACATTAAAAGAAATATTTAGAATATTAGAGATTTATGTGTAAAATAAGTTAAAAACCGAGCACAGAAAACAGCTTACATGCGGTTTTTTTACACAAGTTCTAAGCTACTTTGAAAAATACTTTGAATTCCGTGTATTTACGCACAGAATTATAGTTTAAAATTTAAGTTAACGATACGCTAAACAGATCTATTGAATCTTCTGTTATTTTTTATTCACTGGCAACTGGGGTTTTGTATGGAAACTATTTTTATATTATAAGAAAGCTTGCAGGCGATATATTATTGGTTTCTATCTTAATACACCCTTCATGAATAATTTCTGAAGTAATAAAGAACAATTCTATCAATTTGTCATTGAAAAACTTCAGTAAAATAGCTAAAATACGATACAGTTTAAGTGAAGAAAAAGACCGACACACCTAACGTGTCATACTTTCTGTATTGTTTAAATAATTCCTTTCAAAGAGTTGCGCTCACCCACGATTTTTGTGCTCTTAATCCTTTTCTCTATTCTTTATACCATTCTAATGGTAATGAATAACGAAATCAATTAAAAAAAACTATCCGTAATATTTATTTCTATACAAGTTCGGTCGGGCTATCAAACGTTTCGGAGGTAAAAACATGATAAAAATAAGGATTTTTTAGTCTTTTATTTAAGATATTTTAATGTATAAAGTATTAAATAAAATGATTTAAATATAAATATTACTTAATCTAACAGAAATTTTGTAAAATATATTAATTAAATCCTTCATCGGATGAACGTTTCTCTATGAACAATTTTTTTTGGCTCTTTGGAGTAAATTTAAACCCGTTCCAAAGAACAATTATATTTCGTATTACTGAAAATTTATTAAATAATTTAATGATACTAAATATGTAGAGAAATATCAGAATTCAATTGTTTTACATCAGTTTGATTTTCAACTTAATTAAAGTACAGCTTATTTTTTTTAATGTTTTATCGTGTATTTATGCATACAAAACACGAAAAAAATAAGTTATATTAAGCCTTCTATAATCCTATATAAAATAACTAATTAAAATCTAATATCTTATGTGTATAAAGAATCGGTTCCTTATTAAATTTGATACGAATCTAAGCGATATATGAATTTCTGTATCAAGATAATTGCTTAAGGATAGAAAAATTTATATAATTTTCTATAAATAAGATTGTAGATTTGATCAAGATTTTTAAAATAATCTTCTTTTTATTTAATTTTTACAAATTTCTGAATTTTCAAGGATATTGATTAGCCTATAGCCTATATATATTAGAGTAATCTTGCCAAGACTGTCAAACTGCATATTAGATATTGTAAAATATTAGACTTAAAAGTATAAATTAATACTTTGAAATGATAAAATATAAAATAAAGTATATTTTTAATCATTTTTTAAAGAATTCGAGATGCTAAATTCAAGGAAAACATCTATTTTTTGTAAAGGAAAAAGACGTTTAAGTTATCCAATTCTTCGGTATACAAGCTGCTTTCTGTCCTATTTCTGTCCGAAAAATAACATATATCCTAGTGGAACATTATATTAAATCATTTAAAATTGCTTTATTTAACTGCTATATATCTCGAAAAACAGGCCTACATAGAAATGATAATGCAATAATTCATTTGGACCATAGCAATATCTTTTTTCTCAATATATCATACATCTAACCCCATTTGTTGGATTATTAATAGACTAATATTTACTATTAAAAAAATAATAAATACAATGACATAATATACAATTATCGCACATCAATATTTTATTGTAAAACCTTTTTTTTTTAAATTAATTATTTCTCGTAAATAAATAGANTAGGTCATAACTTTCGTTTTCTATGATTTATGTTATAATTTAAATAGTAAATTTTATAACAGAATTATACGAATTTATACACGGCAGATAGAAACTGCCGTGTATAAATTCGTAGTAGAACATTTAAAAAATAAGAAAGTAAATATTAAAATTCCAAAATGTGTAGGCCATATTCATAAATCTAGATTAAGACGACTTCAATACAAACATCTCAAAAATTACATTTATTACTTTGTTACAAGTTAAGTATTATCTATCACAATAACGGGATTTCTCGGCAGAAATTTCCACAAAGTGCAAAATTGACAAGAGATCATCAAGAGACCGGCCTTGACATCCTTTAAAGATTTAATTGCTTTCTTAGTGGAAATGATTAATGAAGGGTCTAGTCATTCGGAGATTTTATCCCATTTTATTCGTTATCTTCACTGAGTGGTTTTCCAGATTTTCAACTAATTCTATTGTATTTATTTTTTTTTTTACTAAACCCATTTCGATGACGAAATTGCGTATTATCATTTTTTCCTCCCGCTAGATTCGTCTTAAATTCTTAGCTTCCTTGCTAGATATATAGCCGCGATAGTGTAGGCCAAATATGAAATCTTATAATTTGATAATAATGAATTTCAGTACAATATTTAATGATTTAAAAAAAATGATTATTTAAAGGTATGGTTCAAAAATAGAAGGGCAAAGTGCCGACAGCAACAGCACCAACAGAATGCAGGATCCACATCCAAATCGAGACCCAGAAAGACGAAAAGTCCGGATGAGAAGACATCTTGCTGTGACAACCAATTCAAAACCGTCCCTAATCCATCGATCTGCAACAATGCAACTATATGGAGTCCGGCAATGTCCGAGCTCATGGCTAGCAACAGTTGTATGCAAAGATCCAGTTATCCCAGTCCGACTCCTCCATCTTATTCCAGCTACGGCACCACGACATATTATAGCAACATGGAATACCTACCACCCGGTATGGGTGCCACTCACAGCAACATGCCAACATCACCCCCCATGAATGCCATGACTACGTCGCCTTCACCAGCTACGGATTGTAATGACTATACCTGTGATAGAACGTCTTCGTGGAGATTTCAAGTACTATGATTTATTTTAATCGAAGAAATTGCCTTTTTTTTTTCTTTGTTGAGTCTATTAAGACTTTTGTGTGAGTGACATTTTTGTTTTATTTATGTTTGTATTATATCAGGCCAGTTTCTGTCTATCTTGTAACATAGCCTCATGAATAAAGTGTTTCCATTGAAATGGGATGTCGTGTTTGTTTGTTTATTATTATTTTTTTTGAATTGATAAATAAACTCAGTAAAAATCGAGATTTTTGTCTCAGAATTATTTATTTAAAATACAATATTCCTTATGGCCCATTAAAATTAATACAAAGTCCATAAAACACGTTTATTCTAAAATTAATTAGCGAAAAGAATTTTATTATGTTCTTTTTACTCGGTTATCAACAAATAAATTTAATGTTGAGCGGAATGAATCTATACTCATTGCTATAATTTTCGAATAATAATAGCCTTACAGAATAATAATTTAAGAATGATTGTTATTATAAGATTTAAAATTTTATCCAAAACCGAATCTATACATTTTGAACCTGAAGCAGAAGAGTTAATTAATATGGATTCATCTCTAAAAAATTTTGATAACAAAAATATATTTATTGATATAAGATTACAATTTATTTTTAGATTTGACAAGATACCCCGATTTTTCGGGATTCTCTCGGATTTCTCTGAGGACTTTATTCTAAAAACTGTCCCTACAACGAAGTATCTGTTTATTTTTCCACATTTTAAATGTACAGTCGACCCCCTATAACACTGTTGATAATTCTATTTTATATGTTGTACGAGTCACTTAGACAGATACGTGTGCCGGGCTGTGAACGGCTCACGTATTTGTAAAATCTAAGTGACTCGTACAACATGGAATTCATATAAAACGGAATAATCAACAGTGTTATGGGGGGTCGACTGTATTTCAGTCACCGGCAGAGTAAAATTACACGTCTATTGCATACCCTAGAATTAAAGCACTCCACTATCTTTCGGTAAGAACTCATATTCTCTTGGATTTCATCTCAATTATCTGACAACTCTAAATTTACATTATTTAAATTTATACAATAAAACATTGCTTCTTCACAAATACTTTTATTAAATAGTCACATTCAAAATTGAAATGTTGTATTCATAAATACATTTTTGTCTTTGCTTTCCGACTTGACTAACTGAATGAAATATGTAAAAAAAAAAAAAAAAAAGTAGCTAGTCGTTTAAAAATAGGGCCTCTTTATAAGTGACGTCTGAAGCCAACCCGCTTCATCCATCCTATAAGTAGACCCCCCTATAACACTGTTGATAATTCCGTTTTATATGAATTCCGTGTTGTACGAGTCACTTAGATTTTACAAATACGTGAGCCATTTACAGCCCGGCACACGTATTTGTAAAATCTAAGTGACTCGTACAACATGGAATTCATATAAAACGGAATAATCAACAGTGTTATAGGGG